CCTAAAATTCAAAGACCCATCCAAAAATGGGCATCTGAGATGAATACACACTTCTCAGATGAAGAAATATAAATGACAAATATATGAAAAAATGTTCAATGCCATTGGTCATTCAAGAAATGTAAATCAAAACAACATTGAGATTCTATCTCATTCCAAACAGAATAGCTATTATCAAGATATCAACCAATAACAAATATTGGCAGGGCTGTGGGGGAAAAAAGAACCCTTCCCCATTGTTATTGAGAGTGCAGACTGGTGCAACCACAGTGGAAATCAGTGTGGAGATTCCTCAAAAAACTAGGATTAAAAGTCCCATTTGACCCAGCTATTCTCCTTCTGGGTATTTTCCCAGAAGAGTTAAAAACATCATAGCACAGCAATGTATGTGTACCCAAGTTTATAGCAGCACGAATTTGTAATAGCTAAATCATGGAAACAACCCAAATGCCCATCAACGGAGGAATAGATACAAAAGATGTGGTATTTTTATACAATAGCATACTACTTAGCTATTAAAAAAAGATAAATTTGAGGCCTTTATAAGTAAATAGATGCAACTAGAAAGCATACTTATCAGTGAAATAAAGTCACATGGGGTAGGCAGACAGTTCATGAATAAAAACCAAATATCGCATTCTCTACCTGGAGTAAAAATGACATATATCAAGAAAACTGGTATAGCTGTACTAATAAACGAAGCAGACATCAAGACCAGAAGTATTTTCATTATGTAATGACAAAACAGACAACTAAGCACAGAGGCATGAGACTCCAGATGTGTATGCACCTGATTACAGGACTTCAAACTAAATGCAGCAAAAATTTAGAAAACTAAAGGAAGAAACAGACAAACACACAATTATAATTGGAGACTCACAACACTCTGCACTCATTAATTGAGAGAAGAGACAAAAAATTTATAAATATAAAAAATTTAAATGTATTTGAGCATCTAGAACATAAGAATAGTGTACACAGGCTTTTCTTCATATTCTGTAACATTTAATACTGAAATAGCTTCACATTTTTGTTCTTGAGAATAAAATGATTCAATGCATATAAAAACCTAGAGTAATGATGGTGAACCCACAGCATGCGTATTAGTGTTTTTCTTTTAAAACAAATGACACTGATGGAGAGCTATGCTTTCTAAACTAAAACCTTGATGTTCAGTGCAGGGTTGGCACTCTGTGATAATGGAGTGAGTCTTGGGTTGAAGTTGGCACAGTCTCTAAAAGGTTTGCTCTCACTGGCCTCCAGCAATGCATTATGAAATACAGGGCAATTCTTAACCCAGTCTCTTTGGAATAATTATTAGCAATTGTACTCCTTAGATTTCTCTCTGATCCTGAGGTTATGAGGACTGGGGTAAGCTCTTGTGTTCAAGCATTTCTCAGCTTCTGGTCCTGGTATCAATACTAAACATCATATTAGGACCTTCTGGCTAGTTATTCCCATGAAACATCACCTCAAATCAAGGGTCAAAGTTCAAGTTATACACTGACTTCCAAGATACTGAAGCTTCTTCACCCTTTAATTTTTAGGGACTGTAAGAATCTCTTTAAAGAATGTGTGAGGCTGAGGTGTCACTCAGAAGTACAGGACTTGCCTACGATGCGTGAGGCCCTGGGTTTGAGCCTCAGCAGGGAGCAGGGAAAACACTGTAATATAAGCCAAAATACCCCATCATTGGATCTTCATGTCTTTAGAGCTATACCCCAAGGAAACCACACTACATCCTCTTCCCACACTTAATGATTTATGCCTTGTTCAAGTCAAAAACAAAGCCAAGCTCTAGTTTACAACAGGAATCTGCACCCCAGACCCTTCTAAAGACACCTCAGGTGGGAGACCTAACATGTATCTCTAGGAAGGCTTATCAAACACTAGTTTGTGCCTTAACTCTCAACTTCAGGTCTTCACACAGATGTGGGTAAGTGCTTAGCTCTGCTACTCACTGGCCACCGGATCTTGTCCAAGCAGTCTCTCATCTGAGATGCAGACAGACCCACTTGGTAGGACTCCATAAAGCAGTCAGTGCCTTAAATGCAGTTGATGCTCAAATCTTTGTTGAAAAATGAATGAGAAAATAGGTATGGTGGGCAAGGAGACCACAACGGATAATCAGAACTTGAAACTGCCACCCTGTTTTTCAAATTTGCCCTCAATTTACACATTTCACTTGGTGTTGCAAAGCTAATTGCTCATGACACGCCATGATGTTCCTTTCACGTCTCAGTCCCTTGACGGGTCTGTCTTACCCACCTAAAACTCCCCCCTGAGCTTCTCCCCCTTGTTCCTACTCCCAACCCATCCTTCACCTCCTAACTGGACTTTTCTTAGAAGACTGGTGGATCAGCTTAGACCTGAATTTCATCTTTAAAAAAACTTCTGAAACATATTCTCTACTGAATTTCAGCTGGGACCATGCTCACTGCAGGGTGTCCCCTGGACCCTAGGATGAGCCTCTTCCCGATGGCTCGTGAGCCCTGGGAGGCATCTGAGTGCCATAGCTGTGTACCTGGAGCATTTCCTAGCACAGACAGCATCTCAGGAAACATGCTGAACACATGGAATTACGCAACTTAACTGGTCTGGCAGGTTACAGAAGATACACCTTCAGGCTCCTTTCTGGGCCAAGATGCTGACCTACAACCAAGACGGTTAAAGCAACACCAGGAGAGGCCCCAGGTGGAGAGGAACTGAGTGCCCAGTCTCAACACAGCCATCTCACCAAGCCAAGCAATGTGGAGTCTGCTCAGCCGCCAGTGCCTACAAGGAATCCCTACAGAATATAAAGAAAACTGGCACCATTTGACCTAAGTTCTCAGGTCAAGTCTTAGCCTGCATTCTGCCCAGTGCATCATTTACCTCAAAGTATCTACTTCACAGATCAATATTCTAGCACTTTTAAATTTGTTTCCAAACAGAACTTTTTTGGGGGAGGAGGAATCAAACTCAAGGCCAACCTTGTGCTTACCAGACAGGCACTGTGCCACTGAACTATATCCCCAGCTCCAGAATGCATTTTACTTACAGGGTATCATTTCCCTACATTTAATTTGAAATTCTCGTAATTTTTCACAAAGATGCTTCGGTTCACTAAAGGTATTTTTATCTGAGGATCTAAGATTAAATTCTGAAAGTTTTCACTGCAGTCCTACAAACTTAATCAATTCAACAGAATCTGTATCAATTTTTGATGAAAAAAGATTCCTAGAATGTAAAATTAATGTACAATAAAAACAAAAATCACTCAACCCATCTGCTAAAAAAATTACAATTCTAAGAAAGGGAATTACTTTGTAAGAACACTTTCCAAATGAAGGAAATAAATATATTTTCAGGGTCTAAGGTCTTGATGTTAATAAAAATTTTTATTACATTTTTAATAAAATTTACATTTTTACAAATAAAAATTACAAATACAAATTTACATTTTTTACAAATAAAAATTACATTTTTTTTAAAAATCACATTAAATATATACTACAAAGTAAATTTTCTTTTAAAATGAAATATAAAGGTCATAAGTTTGCTCCTAAGTGTCTATAAGAGATATCCCCAAAGCAAATTACAACAATTTAAATATGAAAATCTACATGGACTACAGGCAAGTGGAAAATGATTAGGGAAAAACAAATATATGTCGCATACTAAAGAGAAACATTATATTAAAAATCAGCGGAATTTCAGGATTGCCTTGGTTCTTGATGAGAAGATTAAAGCCCCTGTTACCAGAGGGCACCTCCTCTCTTTCCTTGGCAGCATTTTCCCTACAGGGCATGACCCTCATAGCTCTCCCTCCTGGCCAGGACCTCACAGACACCTGTCCCTGGGCTCTCGGATCTAGCACTATGCCCCTCTCCAATGAAGCTTGGCCCAGGTCAACTCAACATCACCAGGAAGCAGGTTAAGAAATGCAAATTCCCAGGACCTCCCTGGACTTCCTGAGTCAGAACTTGTGGCTGACTGGAAATCTGTGTTTCAAGTCTGTCCAGTGACTGCGGGGCTACGGAGTGCAAAAGCACCATCCTGATCATGGGCTCCTCCAGTGACCTGGGTATTCCTACACCTCTGATATCCCACCAACCCGTCAGGAAACACTGTTCTTCCCGGGGTACACAGGACCACCAAAGTGTCCCTGGACAAAGAACTGCTATCTGGTAGGCTCATGTTGTCCTGACGGCTCCAGTTTTGCCTGAGCCTTTTCCAAGCCAGAGAGAACAGAAGGTAAAACTGAACCCTTCCCTAGGGTAGACACTAGGACACATTACTGGCAGTCAGTCCATTCACCTGAGGCCCATGTTCGGGTCACACTCACAGTCCAGAAAGGAATGTTTCAGAAGGGAAGGAACTGACTTCACTCCTCTTGAGCTCTGTTTACCAGCATTTATCAGTTTATTTTGGTGTTAAAGGGAGAAGTAACCTTATTTTTCAACACTGTGCCTTTGAGAGGGCCCTGAATAGACTGTGAAGTCTACTGCAGAACAGACTGAGTGGCTCTAAGGCATGATGAAATAAATCCAAAATGAAAAATGAAAAAGACAGTGTTAAAAATAAAATAGCAACTGTAGATTATGGGTGAAGTCCTGTGGCAGGAAAACACAGTCTTGCCTGGCCGCACAGACCAGAAGGAGGACAGTCCAGCACTATTAATCTTTAGCCTCTGTCCTGCAACCACACAGAGTCCCCATCCACACAGTCCATTCTGGGATGGGGCACCTGAGACCTGCATGAGGATGAAGCCAGTCTCTCCTCTATTTTCCATCATGGGTTTTGGTTTGTCAATGTGAAGAACACACACAACCCACTAATTCCTCCACCTTACGAATGCCTTTCTGATTTGGTAACTACTGATTCAACCCCAGAGGAATGTGCGGCTGTAGGTACTCACACAGACAAGGCGACACATACACCCAACCATCACCACCAGAAGCTCCCCCGCCCCCCGTGGGACTAAGGGCATACATTAAATCCCCCTTCTTTGTACTTACACCGGTCTTGAAATTTCTAGCTCTGACATTCCATCTTAGATCCACTATGATCAGGCCATTTGTCACCTGGCTCAGTACCGTGAGAAATCTGTTGATAAGAAAAGCCCTGATTACATCTTTAGTAATGTCCACTACTAAAATCGGACCATGCCCCTGGCTGAGTGTCCCTTAGCTGACATGCCTGGACCCCAAAGTGTTTCAGATTTCCATTTTCTTCAGATTTTGGAGTTTTTGCAGAGAATTTACCAGCTGAAGAGTCTTACAGCAGAAATCCAAAATTTGCTCCAAATTCCCAAACGATTTGAGCACATGGATTTTTGAAAGTTTCAGATTCCAGAACATTTAGTGTTTTGTGTTGAACAGTAACTAACTCTGCAGGTTGTTCTAGGAAAGAAATGTGACAATTTGAAATGTTCTCCAGTGATCCTACACAGACACAGGAGAGGTCTGGCCCACCATGAATCACAACCACCTAAGCACACACAAAGGGTCCCATGTTAATGGCCCAGCACCAGCACCAAGACTACTTTTCAGATTACTTTTCTTCTCAAAAGAGATCATTCAGTGGTAAGAATGACTTTCCCTTAAGACAATAGAATTTTAAATTCTGATTAGAAAAACTGTTATCCCTTAATTATTTTTTCTTACCTACCCACTACAAATACATAAGGAAATAAAAAAATTAAAAGTTGACTACTCTTGATTGAAATATTTAATACTAAAGTTTTGACCAGGTCAAAGATATAATTTCTTTCTACCTTCCTGGTTTAGAGTTCAATCAGAACAACTTAGAGACCAATTTGATTTTAAACTCTGCTTATCTTCTCAAAAATATATGGGATGTCCTCAAGAAAAATGTAATGCAATTGTAGGAAAATAGAGAACAATAATTTTAGGGCAGAAAGAAAATGTAGGCTACAATTACTAAGGTTAACATGAGAAGAAACTAAGCATAATTTCCCACTAACTTGTTACAATTGTGCTTGATCTTGCCTAAAGTTTATTCTTTAAATTTTAATCAAATGATTCACCCTGCATATTTTGTAAGATATTTAAAGATGTATAAAGTATAAATTACACTGCGCAATAATGCATGAGCATTTTCACTACCAAATACACAGTAAGAAATGTGGTGTTGCATCTCTGGGGAATCCTTTAGCCAGCATTGGACCCATCACAGATGTGAGGGCGAGGCAGTCATGAAGGGGTGGATTCTGAGAGGGTCTGAGATAACCTTTTGTCAACTAGAGGTTGCCTAGAGCCACTTCTTAAGTATTCGGAAGATCAACATTGATGGGAGCCACCCATGGTGCACAATGTTACCTCTGACAGAATCTACAGAACAAAGGAGCCTCTTGTAGCACTTGTAGGGTCTCAGCTTTCAGGTAAAGTTGAACCATCAATGAGGAAGTCACCAAATGGGTACTTGGGCAGCTCAGTCAGAATGGTTCTTAGAGAAGTATTATTTTGAAGGTTACAGCAGTGCATGGGCTCAGTGAACCCCCAAAAGTATACATGGTCTAGAGGATTCTGTGCTGGAAATTTCTCAAAAAAATTACTACCAAGCTTTCTACCACAGCAATAGAAAAATTTCACGTAAACAACTATATGGAAAGTTGCTTTAAAATGCTTTTACTTTTGGGCCTATTAATGTGAAGCCTTTCTCTACAGTGAAAGAAATCAGAATCATGTGGAATCTTGTCACCACCTCTGCAGATCTGGGAACGAGATCCCCCACATGGACTAACACCACCACCAGCATCCCCACACGCGCACACACGCCTCCACAGTGTACCAACACCACCATATGGTCTGTGATTTTATTTAACTTCCTCTACTCAGGAGAAAAGTTTGTATTTAGGGACAATATCTTACTAGACTTTATTCCTATCACCTTGTGAAATGCCTGACCACAAACGCACCCACATAAATACAATGAATGAACTCCAGACCACTCAACTGACTGTGACTCATGAGACTAATCTTCTTTTAGATAACTAAAAATCTTAGAAATGACATCAGTTTCCATTCCCTCACGCACAGAAATGAAACGAGCCGGATGGAAAGCACAGGGCACCCCTTGGCTGTTCCTGACACAAGGATCAATACTAAATATTCTGAAAACTGAGTTTACCCAGCCAGGGACACAGCCCGACCACCAACTGCCACCCTCTGTCCTCCAAACTGCCCTCATGCTTATCAGAGGAGTCACTTCAAATGCATCACGGAATCCACATCCTAGTACTCTAATCTTCTATCCTAGTAACCTATTGAAAAGAAAAATAAATAGCGTCAGCTTGGCATGACTCATTCTTAGTAAAACTATTCTTGCTTTTAGTTACTACTTTTTTTTCTACCAGTACACAACCATCTGCTTAACAGTATGGTTTAGAAGGCTGCCAAGGATATGGAGTAAAATCAAGGAACTGCACAGTCTAGAGTAAGACCATTCCATGGAAATCTACAGCAACTACAGTATGAACCATACATAAAATCATGCAAAATTAATTATGCAAAATTAATGTTAATAATACTATACCAAAATACTATCATGCAACATGAACTATAAAGTGGTTGAGTTATTTTGCATTCTTTTTTCAAAGTACTTCTTTAGAACTGAGTGTATTTCCTCAATACGAAGCATCTCAATGCAGACTTGCCACATTTCCAGGGCTCGGAGGCCACATAGGGCCGGTGACCACCATATGGGCGGTGTAAGTCCAGAATCTTCGGATAATTCCCGAAAAACCAGAGCATTCAACTTCCTGGCAGCACCTTTTGTGTCCTCCACCATCTCTCAGGAAATGACCTGACTGGCCCCTCAAACCCGCATACAAATTCCTGCAGCACTTGAGAGACACAAACTAAACCTTCAGGCACAAACTGCTCTCCAAACAGCAGGAAGACAGAAGCCTGAAACAAACACCTACAAGTCTCTCATGGCTAAAGTGTGATTTGTGTCCTTCCATCAAATCCTCCAATGCATGGTTAGAGGCATAGATGCACTTTATACTGCTGCTTGGAGTTACTTGTGCATCATGAAGATGTGATTGTTTCTTTCATTCTTTTTATTCAGAGCAACAGAAAGCCAAGGAACACAATTAGGAGGCATGACAGCAGGTCCTAAGGATGACGGGGGCAGAGGGGTGACACAACACAGAACTCAGCATCACTTCAGGCAAATGAAAGCCAGGTGTCAGATCAGGGGCATGTTTTCAGAAAGGCCTGGGGGATACGCAGGATAAAATGAGGAGGATCTGGAAGGACGTGAGGTGAGGATTTGTTCTGGGCCAACGCGCAGGGCTCTGGGCAGCTGCAGAATGTGACAGGTGAATCCTGAACTAATTCTGAGTGCAGAACAGTGGACGTAAAGAGGTGAGCAAGAGACGAAAGACAACCAGGGCCTGAACTAAGGTGCAGGGAGCCCCAGGAATGCAGAAGAGGTCAGAGTCAAGCAAAGATGAAAAGCGGGGCGAGGGGACATAGGAGGGCCCGGGCAGGCGGTCTGAGGACACTGCCCCATTCTCCGGCTTAGGGAGTGCATGTTCGGGTGAGCCACGGTTCAACGCAGCGGAAAAGTTCATCACTTCCCAAGGGAAACTGTCTCTGTCTCCTACATGGTCATGCTGGGAAACTGCATAGCTTCAGCCATTCTGTTAAAAATCTCTGTGTACAGGCAAAGATTGTTTTTTTGTTACTATATTTTCTTACTTGTTTTGAGGAATTTGTCTTCTTGTTGGCAGAACAAAAGTTTCTTTTAAGAGTTTTATTACTTTACACATCAAAATTCAATGAAAGAAACCTTCAGCTCTAACATTCTGTTTGTATTACTTTTTGCTCAGAGAGGGTGCCTTAAATCCTTGCAACTGTTATTAAAATGCACTATAGAAGTTGGGAGGTTATAAACAACAGAAGTTTGTTTCTCACAGTTCTGGTGGACAGAGGTTCAAGACCAAGGTGTCTTCAGGTTTATCATCTGGTGGGCAACCACTTCGTGATTCACGAATGGTGACTTCTCATGAGTCCTTTCACTGGCATGCGGAATGGAGGGCAGGAAGAAGAGGGGTTTTCGGACCCCTTTTTACCAAAGCCTCAATCCCACTAGCAGGGTTCTATCCTAAGTGATGCTTAATGACTTCCCAAAGCCCCAACTTGCTAGTGCCTCTCCTTAGATATTAGATTTCAATATACTGTGTGAATTCTGGGAGAACAAAAATATTCAGGCCATGGCAGAAAGGTGACAATGACCAGAGCAGGAAAAGCACTAGAGCCTCATTTTCACCAGTTTACAAAATGTACTTCTATCACCGCGGCAACCCTCCTCACATCTAGCGGACCAAGACACGTGATCTTTGCTTATGGGGCAATGGGACATTTTAGAGGACACACAGGTCAGCAGCACTTACGAGGGCCCTTAGGTGCTCTGACATCAGGCAGTGACTTGGGGCTTAGCACCCAGGAAGAGATCTCCCTACAAGGTAACTGAAGATGTAGCTCCAGTAAGGGAGATGGCCCACAGTGCTTGGAGCTTCCTGGTGGTAACGCAGGGTAAGGGAAGATGATTTCACACAACCAGACTCCTCCTACTACCACTCAAAGATTTTTTTTTTTTTTTTTTTTTTTTTTTGGCTTTTTCCTTTTTATCGGTACCGGGGATTGAACTCAGGACTGCCTGCTTACAAGGCAGGTGCTTATGCCGCTAAGCTAAATCCCCAGCCCCACACTCAAAGATTTTTCACTAGAAAATGGAAGGAATGAAAGTGTCTAGAACATCTCTAACTGCCACATTACCAGCTGAAATGTGAGCTCTTGCTCTGGGGAGAGGAAGGTCACTTGAGCTTGGAGTTCGTGGCCTGATGGTAAAATGTCCTGGTGAGAATTTTCAGCTCCACATAGCCTTGGGCCCAGTCAGCTTCACTCTGGGTCAGGTTTCCAGGAAAAACTCTGGTCTGGGCTTGATAACTACCAGTCAGCCTAGCAGACAGCACTGGAGCCAGGTCACCTGTCCTCACTGCTGCCTGGGACCCCATGGTAACCTCGTCCTCATACTATGCTGCTCCTGTGGTCAGTTCTTGGTTCAAATAACTC